CTCAGCTCTAAAACATCGACTCTATAATAATCATGGTCCCCCTTAACCACCTTCATTTGGTCTTCCAATAGCTTGATCTTTTCTTTCATCTTCTTTGCATTGTCTTCCTTATCAAAATCTGGTATATGGTAATTATTTGGATTATTCTCAGGGTTGGATAGAAATATGTAACTTTATAGCATATGAGGCTTTCGTTTTTGCAACGGAAGAGTCCCCTTGTAGTCCAGGTAAAATTCCAGGTGAAATAACCACTTGCGGGGTAGGTGGTATAGTTAATCCTTCAGACGAACCTGCCCAGCACTTGTTTGATTTAAGCCATATAACTTGGAAACAATTTGATCGACCAAAGACTCTTGGCTCTTAGTGATCGACTCCAGAGTACTTTGATTATTCTGGCTTATCTTTTCTTCTAACTCCCTTTGCAACCTCGCCAAGTTCTCTTCGAGTTGAGCGATTTGGCTTCATTTGTCTTTTCTTTGTGCGGGTGTTGTGCAGATGATGCGTGTCCAAAACTTGTAGAGGTAAATCCGGTGTTTGTTCCCTCTTCTGATGAGACATTTTTTGTTAGTTAATGTGAATGTTAAAATATGGAAAACAAAAATAAAATGCAAAGTATGAAATGCAATGCATGATGCATGAGAATTACAGGCACTGATCTAGAAACGTGTCTGTTATTATAAATAATCTTTATTGAGACAAAAGTGTTTTAATTTTAAGAGACACAAAATATCTTAAAGGTACATTCTGACTAAATCTTTTAAACCCAAACATCTTCTAATAGGTTAACAAGTCTTCTTCTTTCATCTGTCACAGGTTGAATACCCTATCGAACCACTCGGTTTCTCTTGCTAAACCATGCAAATAACGAGCTACTTTTTGTACTTGCTCCAAGAAATCTCAGATGGCTGCATCTCTAGCTTTCACCCTTTGTTGAGCTTGTTCCAACGAAAACGCCACTGAAACCCTCCATCAAAGGGAACTATCTGAAGCTCACTTACTTATTTCTTGAACTCGTCCACAATGGCCTCCAACTCAGCTATGGTTTTATCATCACATTCTTGATATTTCTGAAGAGACTTCTCTAAATCAACTGGATCCTCAAACGCTTGTTATGGTGCTAGTTTTCTAGCAAACATCTCTAGGAAGTCTTTAGTTGTTATTTCAAGGTATCTCTTTTATCCTTCCCTTCAAACCTCCTTTTCAGGCTACTAGTTTTACTTTTCCAGTACTCAGAAAACCTTTTCAGATTAGAATTGCTCTGGACTTGTTCTTGATATCCTTTTCTCAAGTCTTCGAGATCAAAGCAGATTTTCTTCTGTTCCTTTTCTAACTTGTCTTCCCGATCCTTCTGAGTATCGACATTTAATTTCCACTGGAATCTTTCAGCCTCGAGTTCCCTTAGCCTTTGTTTCAGCACTTTTTTTTCAGCTTCAAATTCTTTCCTTGTTATCTCTAGCTCAGAGGGAACATGCTTAAGATGTTCTTCCATTATTTGAGTATCTTCATAATATGGCACGGGGATGGTGTCATTTTTCTTTAACCTCCTCCATTCCAAATAGTCTGGAGTAAGCATGTCTTTAGCGTCCAAGACATCTATATGAAACATTTTCTTCCATGACTCAGCTACTTATTTGACCTTTTTCTTGTAGTTATCCCCATGGTATGCAAATTTCGATCCAGATATCTTACTCCTCCCCATAATCCAAGTAATGTCATAGTTTATGAATCTCAACATCGGAAAAGAATGTCATTTTGGGTTAACCAATGAGCTCTCCAAACAATATCCCTATCTTGAAGGTATATGAATACTTTCATCCACTTTTCTTTTGGGATGCCTTCTTGCCATTTTAGGGTAAGGAATTCCCCCAAAGAAGAATAAGTGGTGTTGAATTGGCGGTAAGAAATCTCGTTAGTCTTTCAGAAGTGACTGTGGATCCAAACTTGGAGAAGCTATGCAGACCCTATAATTCTTCCTCTGCCATTCTTTCTACAGTGGTTGAGGGAGTGAAAAGTTTCAGCTAAAATTGATGTTACTAGATTTACTCATTTTGGGAGTTGTTCGAACAATTCCACCAACAGTCGCCTCAATGTATCCCAAAGTCTTCGGGAAGATAACCAAACCATAAAGGCCCAACGCAAAAAGGTTCATTGTCTTCCATTCATTGAGGTGATTCTTCATTAGTTACTTAATATGGGTCCAAGCAATTCCCTCCTCGCTACCTTTGTGTTGAATCTGGTCAATTACCCATTTCTCATCTACCCCCTGTAACTTTTGCCAGCCCGTTCTTGAAAGGCTGACTTTTAATGTGCTTGATGTAGACTCGATCCATTATGATTCCCTCGTAATGCAGCAATGTGGTATACTCTTTGATTGTGGGTACCATGTCTTCTTAGTTAAAGGTGAAATAATTGTACCCCGGATTCTAGAATTGTACTAGGGCTCTAATTAGAGGTTCATCTGTCTTGGCATAGAGTTGCAGATTATGTGTGTAACGAACATTTTTTTATGGATCAATTACCTCTTTTTATGATGTAAATAGAAAAAACAAACATGAAAGAAAAATCAGTTAGTAATATAGAAATAATAATGATAAATTGCATGCTTTGAACAGGAAATAAAACATCCTAGGTTTTGAAATGGAGTTTCGGGGTGGGCTCTAATTCCCTGTAGTCTTCAGTTTAGGTTCTAAAGAAGGTACTCGAGTTCTCTTTGCTAGTGCCTTATTGGGCTTGTCGACCCTCAGTCCTAAGCCCATTACAAGCCTATACGGAGAATAAATTCACACGAAGACATAAGGTTTGCTAGTGCCTTATTGGGCTTGTCGACCCTCAGTCCTAAGCCCATTATAAGCCTATACGGAGAATAAATTCACACGAAGACATAAGGTTTATGAATCCCGAAGGTTACTTGCTAGGCTTATACGGAGAATAAATTCTCACGAAGGCGTCATTTTCACCTCCACTTAAGAAAAGGTTTGGAGCTCAAGTATAGAGCCTGAGATGAAAATGTTTAATAAGTTGAATCCATTAAAAACGTCAATATAATTATTTACTTGAAAATTAATCAAAGGTAAGTAATAAGGATCGAAAAATTAACTTAAAATTTAAACTTACAATTTTCACTTAAGAAGACAAATGGAAATTAGCCTTAGCCTGACTCACTTACTTGTTCCCAGTGGAGTCGCCAAGCTGTCGTAACCGTCTTTCGGGTGGGCCCAAAATTAGGCTTCGACTTAAATAAGTGGGTTAGAGTCACCACCGATCATTTATCTTTAAAATAAGAACTAGGTTGATCAGGCACCTCGGTTTATTTTCTTACCTGATCTGCATCTTACCAAAAATATGTCGGGATCAGGAGTCAGTTACAGTCAGGGAAGGATTAGCACCCTTGTATTATCCTTTCGGCATTAATTTAATTTCCAGTTATCTTAAATAAGAAAATTACAAGTTAAATTAAAAAGTAAAAATTCGATCCAAACTACTCACCTTTAATTGATTTAAAGTACCCCTAAAAAGGTCAAAAAATGTTAGAATGTAAAAATAAAATATTGAATGAATCAAAAGGAAAAATTAGCAAAAAATTAAATTTTAATACTTTAAATTAAACAAAGACAAAAAGAAACATGCACATATATACATACCGAGAAATAAACGGAAATAAAATTAAAATAATATAACACAAAAAATAAATGGGATAAACTCATGCCCAACAAGGGGTCAAATCATGTATATTAAGAAAACGTGGAATAAAAAGGATAAAAAAGGAATAATGTAAAGGGAAGAAAAAATTGCAAAATAATTAATTTAAAAATAAAAATTGTGATGCGAAAACAAAATAAAGAAGAGTATGGGCGAATTTTATAATTAAAACAAAGTGCAGGACAAATTTAAAAAAAAATTAATGAAATTCGATAAAAAGGGTAAAATCAATTTTCAAAAAAGTTTCAGGAACAAAAACTGTAGTTTACCCCATTCCATTGAAAACACATGGATCTTGGGGTGAAACTGACGGGTTTCGGGTCGGCTATAAAGCCCATAAAGAAGAAACATATTTCATTTTTCCTCCCCTTCCAAAATCGATCAAAACACCCAAACTTCAAATTCTCTCAATTGTTCTTCATGACACAAATAACATTCAACCCCAAACCCATATTTCAACCGACATTGCCTCGTCGACCGTCATTCATCGACGGTGAGACCCCAAAAAAATTATTTTTCAAAAGCTTTCCATCCCTTTCTTCGAATATACCATTCGTTTTCACAAAAAAGGCTCAGGGAGGGCTAGATCTGAGCAAAACTTTCTGAAAGCCCTCCCTCGATCATCGGCTTTGTCCTTTTTTGAGAGTTTTTTCTAGTCAAAAAAAGAAAAAGAAAAGAGATCAAGCAATATGCAAGAGCAAAACCGAGGTAGGTAAAAAAATAATACCTTTTTATTTCTTGTTTCCTTTTGAATTTTACAAGAATTCCTTGCCTCTTTTCTAGCTTATTTTTGCTTTCTTTTTGCAGGAATTTATAGCCTAAACATTCCTTATTTTCGTTCGGTTTAGTGTTTCATTAGGATAGAAATACATGGTTGTTTTTTTAAATCCTATGAAATCGTGTTTGTTGAGTTGTGGTGGTTGGTTGCGTTGAGAAAACGGGTAGTGGGTTGCGGCTGGGATAAAAACTCTCCAAGCCATCTCGACCGTCGGATGGCCCGTTGATCCGACGGTCCAGGACATACGGCACTGAAGGAAAGCAGTAAACCCTAACTCCATCAAAGCCTTGACATGTGGCCCTGCCTTTGGGTTGAATTGAGCCTACACATAAAACAAAACCAACAAAAAACGTTAAAATAATAATACTATAAATATATATAATATAATATATGTATTATGCAATATAAATACTATACGGTTTAATAACATAATATATGTATGCTATATCACATAAAATAATCAAAAAAATATGTTTACATTATATAATATAAATAGCATATTATATAATGAGGTCGGACGAAAATGCGTAGCTACACTAGCACCGGATCTTTAATCCAAAATCTTTCTGGCTGTCTTGGTTCCGTCCTTGATCTCGCAATTACCCATGACAATAGCTTCGTAATAGCAGCAAGCAGTTCAAACAGGGATGTCAAATCCGGACGAATCTGGCATTCTCTCACAGGTCACAAGGATAAAGTTTGTGCTGTAGATGTGAGCAAAGTATCGAGTCGTCATGTTGTGAGTGCTGCTTATGATCGGACGATAAAAATGTGGGATTTGCAGAAAGGTTACTGCACCAACACTATAGTTTTTCACAGCAACTGCAATGCTCTTTGCTTCAGCACAGTTGGACTGACCATATGCTCGGGTCACGTCGATGGGAATCTCCGTTTGAGGGATATTCAGACCGGAAAATTAGTTAGTGAAGTTGCGGCACATTCTCTTCCCATTACATCTATCTCTCTGTCTCGAAACAGAAATGTTGTATTGACAAGTGGCAGAGATAGTTTGCATAATTTATTCGATATACGATCTTTGGAGTTTGTGGTACACTCAGAGCAACCGGAAGCAGGGTGGCATCTAATTGGAGTCGCTCGTGTATTAGTCTGGATGACAATTATATTGCTGCCGGCTCTGCCGATGGATCCATCTACATTTGGTTGTTATCAAAAGCCGACATTGTAAGAACTCTGAAGGAGCACACTGTTCCAGTTATGTCCTGTACTTGGAGTGGACTCGGAAAACCATTAGCCTCTGCAGATAAGAATGGGGTTGACTGTATCTGGACATGATCCACTGGTTGTACATGGAATGGACACTGACCTAGGGTACTTATCAGAAGCAGGTATGTTCAATATTCTCTATGTTTGAATATGTACTTTGAGGATCCTTGTAGGGTTATATTCCGATGCTATTGTTTGAATATGTCTCATTACAAGTCAGAGTAACATAAACATGGAAAAACAGTATAGTTGTATATATACACGTTTAAAATGATGATTTGTGTGTGGAATTCGCTTTTGGTTGTTCTATTGAATCCGGTTTGATTTCGATTTGGACAATAGTTAACATATTCAACCAGCTTGATTCCATGGCATTATTTAACGTCTTTAGCAGTTTCAGAACCAAGAAATACAAGTTTAATCTAAATTTTCAGTTTTTCAGTGATATTTCAGCAGTCAGTCGCCAAAAGTGACAGACCATTAATGAATAGTTAGACAACAGAAGTAAGCTACTGATCTCAACAAGCAATCATGGAAACAAAATAATATTGTAAGGTTTAACTAACATACTGTTTCTCAAGAAGGCTTGCGCAGAATGCCAGATCGAACCTCTCTTCTGGTGGATCTCCGATGCAATCGAACACTGCATCCGCATTTAAGAAGTCTTCATCGGCTGTGTAACTGCAACCACAGGACCACTCAATGTTAAACATGAATTGTTAATGCTTCGCATCTTCTTTAGTTCTCAAGTAACAAACAAATTCAGCTGACATCAGAAAGAAGGATACTGTAATAGGTCTATATTCTATAATGGCGAATGAACGCGATTATAAAGTAAAAAGAAGTAAAAACAAAGATTAAGATTTATGTAAAAAAATTAAATCGGAAAAAATCACGGGTAAAGAAGAAGTTTCATTTGGAAAACAGATTACAAGAGAATTTACGGTTAAACGCAATTCAGAGTTTAATCAATTTGCTACAAACTCTTAAATCCTAGTATCCATTTATAAGGACAAGAGTCTGATTATAAAGGAAATCTACGTATAAAAAATCTATTCAAACTGAGTTTTCTTTTCTTAATCAACATAAAATAGGAGAAGTAGAGTTTTGTACGGATTTAACAACCTTGTACTACTGGGGTTCTGCCCACGGTCTTTCTCCAAAACAAATCCCCTATTGTTCTTTCTTTCATTTTTTATCAAATCATTTGTATCACGAACTTTTTCAGCCGGATCATAACGGAATCAGTTCACACAACTCTAAAAGATCGGTAATTAGTAGGGCATTACATTCGGTTGATTCGACCAGAGAAAAAAAACAATTGAAACCAATTTAATCATCTAATTCAGCCTATAGTTTAGGAGCACAGATGTCTCATTTGGTAAAGAAATTTACCCGCTCTTTGTCACTATGCAAGTCATTCCAGCCGCTTTGGCAGCAGCAAGTCCTATGGCACTGTCTTCTACAACAACACAGCTATGGAAAAACATCGGGAAGAAAAAAAAATCAGATCTGATCTCCAGTATATATCAACAAATGTAAGATAACAACAGATAAACATAAGCTTTTATAATTACTGATCTTCCAGTATCGAGTATCGGTCAAGCACAATATATGTCTATATTGTTTTAAATCTTTATTTTTCTTAAAGTACTCGTTTCCGGCATCAATATCCAACAAATATCTACACATGAGTACGGAATATGATACTCCGAAGACTCATCATGGGAATCTTGCAGAAAATTAGCCATACCCGTGTTAGACACAGGTTGGACACACTTCTGTGTCTTACTCTCACAGCCGAGTCCGAGTAACATAGATACATATGATGTAATTTGTTAATTTTGCATCGAAAAACATCAGTGAAGGCTACGTTACGATGCAATACCTTGAAGGTTCAACACCGAGTGTGTTTGCTGCTAATGTATAGATGGCCTGCCATAAAGAACATGTACTCTTTAAGGTAATCCATCTTTATGTAGACAAAAATATGAATGAATTTGAACCAAGTAAACTGTAATGAGACACTTGTGAACCACAACGGAATAAAAGTACGGTTAAAGGGTTTCTTTGGCAGATAAATGTCCCCATTTTCTTCAAAAATGTGTCCCAATTAGATATGTCTCGATTAAATTTATAAACGAATGAAAGTTTGTTTTGTAAATATATATAAAAATTAAGAGGGATAAAATACTCACTGGATCAGGTTTCTTACGAGGAACCACATCACCGGCAAAAATCTGTATTTTTTCTGCACGTTCTGGTCCCAGTAAACAAGAAACTACAGCAGAGACCTATAAAAATAGTAATGGACTTGTTTATGAGAAATAGGATTGAGAATTCAAAAAGAACACTGAGTGGCAGGTTTGTTTGAGACTCCACAAATATGCTTTGCTATGTGTTGATGGGAAAATGTTGGTTGTGACGGTTGTAAACGGTCCATCTCTCTCACAGAATCACTGGACGTGATTCTCCGCTCAAACCAGAAGGAGTGAATCATTTACAGATGGGAAAATGTTGGTTGTGACAATTGTAAACGGTCCATCTCTCTCACAGAATCACTGGACGTGATTCTCCGCTCAAACCAGAAGGAGTGAATCATTTACAGTCTCACAACCAACATTTTCCCATCAACACTAAAGCTCCTAAATTAGGAAGTATTTGTGTCTTGCATCCACTAAATAGGTATGAAGATATAATTGTTTAAGAATATGCTAAATACATGGAAAAACTTCTAAAGTGTCGAACCCATACTCATATACCACACGCTCGAGTCTTAGTAACATAACTGCAAATCATCCTTAAACTTGGCAATCTATGCATATGCAATTATTGTGTTCTATATATTTTCTGTTTCAGCAGTGTAAACAACGAAAATAAGTTGTCATGTTTATCACATTACTTCCATGTCTAATAAATGTTTTCTGTCTGTATAAAACCTGATTAGCATACCGCCTTCTCATTGGATGTACTGCACACTGCAACTTTTACTCCTTTCTCCAAAGCTTGATCAATCAATCTGTGTGATATAATCACAAATAACTCGAAAGGCTAGAATCTATCCATCTAAAATATCTCAAAATAACACAAACATTTGAGTACCAAAATGCAATTTTGTAAGATCCGAGTACTAAACACAAACATTTGAGTACTAAAATCAAATGTTATCTGGATTCGAGTGAGTGTCGGATATGATTATGTGTTCAAATAATCAACTTTTCCATGGTATTCTTTGTAAACATGCTAAAGAATCACATCTACGATTAACTCGAACCTGTAACTAATTAAGCGGATGTGATGCCAAACAAACATTTGAGTAACAAAGTTCAACATTACTCGAGAATCTGGTGAGTGTCGGATATGGCATATGGGTATATCTCCCACAATAGGTGTACTTTGGAAAGATCAAACCCATATCAATGTCTGAATAAAAGTAATCAGTTAAAAGATAAAGGTCAACATAGTGATCAAACAATAAAATAAACACTAAAATTTTACGTAGAAAACCTTTAGGAAAAACAGAAGAAAGTTTACTTTTATCAAACTATATTTTCCTACTTTCTTCCAATCAATTTGATTCTAACAAAGTCGAACACAAATGTAAAACACTAACTTTATATGGAACATCATACAGACTGCATAGGTTAAAAGAAGTAAGAGAGGGACTAACTTGGCTACACCGGGACGAAGAGGTAGCAATCTATTTTCAATAAGGGCCATGAACAGCTCGGTTTTTCGTTTATGAAGAGAAGCAATGAATTCCTTTCTTTCTTCTTCACTCTTCGGAGCTTTATCTGGCCACCCTGTCTTGTTAAAGTAAGCAGTCATCCTAAAAAAACATAGAAATAACTTAGTTGCGTTTTGGAATTTAGATTTCAAAAAGAACGTAAATTGTATGATAAAATGTTTGCATTTCTCAAATTCTTGGATTTCATTTCATTCTCATCTTGGATCCTGAGTTATTTATACCTCGTGTATTCATTTCATTCTCACAATTTATAGAATAAATATTATCCAAATCCAAAATTTAATATTCATGATTTCAAATTACTTTAGGTAGAATTTAGGAACTTGGATGTCAGACTTTGGATTGAGCATAATATACATAAAACAGTCTCGTGATTACTTACCAAATATACGGATGTGAGGGATGCCTACTTAGCAGTGAATTTCAAATTCCCAAGGAATTTATGAACCGAACAAATTTATGGTTTTTATACTTTCAAAATATACAGTATGCTGAAATCAACAACTGTAGGCATTTCATTCTTACAATTTTCATGGAAAATGGAATTTTCATATCCAGATTCGAAGCATAACTTCAAGCTCTTATTCATTTGAAAATGAAAGAAAATGTAAAATATATTACCTTTCTTTCCCACCACCAATTTTGAGCAACTCTCCGTACAATTCCACATCCCATGTAACGCCTAATTCTTTCTGCAATTCGCACAATAAAAAAATCCCTACAATTTTTTTTAAAAAATACACAAAAATGAAAAGAGCTTGAAATTTACTTCATCGAAAGTATCATTGAACGAAACCCGGTGGCCATCCTTCTCAGTATCAACGAGAACACCATCGCAGTCAAACAGAAGAGCAGAAGGAAGAGTACTCGAAGATGAAGAAGAAGCAGCCGATGAGCATTTGATCCTGAAAGAAGTAGAAATTTGCTTTGTTGCTGAAAAAGAATAGAGTGAACGAGATGGTGAGTTCTTTGCAATGAATAAACGGCGGTGGCCGAAAGGGGAATCTTTGGGTTTAACAGAAGAAGAAGATGAAGGAATTGGTGGCAGTGAAAGAGAGATGGCGGCGGAAGCCATTTTCACAGCTGTGATTTTCAAGCTGTGATTTTTCTTTTCTCTCTCAGCATATCCGCCACAATTTCCCACGAAAAACATATCGGTCTTTCAACGTTGAATTGAACCGGATCGGGTCGACAATATAAAACAAAGGGTAAACTACACGTTTAGTATCCCCAACTATTACTTTTGTTCTGTTTTGGTCACTTAATTATTATGTTTTCAAAATCATATATAACATTATATTTAATTTTAATAACACACTATTAAAAAAGTAACATAATTGTTGACGATATATTTTTTAAAAAAAGGGTAAATTATGCATTTAGTATCTAAACTATCAATTTTTCTGTTTTATATCTAAACTTTCAATTTTTTAAAATCATACTTAAATTTTACTTTTTGTTTCATTTTAATATCACGTCCTTAAAAACTTAACGTGTTTAGTACATAAACTATCAATTTTGGTCCGTCTTAGTGCCTAAATTTTCATTTTTTTTTCAAAACTTAAGTATGATTTAGGTACTAAATGTGTTTTGGTACCTAGACTTTCATTTTTTTCAAAGCTTAATGGTGGGGTACTAAAATGAAATATAAACTAAACTTTAGGTATGGTTTTGAAAAAATTGAAAGTTTAGGTACTAAAACGGATCAAAACTAATAGTTTAGGTATTAAATGCGTAATTTACCCTAAAAAATTAATGATGACATGGCCTTACCAATTATGATACATCAACATCACTGCTAATTTTTAACATGGATTACTAAAATGAAACCAAAACGTAATATTAAGTATGATTTTTGAAATAAAAATAGTTGAGTGACTAAAATAGAATAAAAGTGATAATTAAGACTAAACTTGTAATTTACTCTAAAATGAATATTTCAAAGTTTTTATGGGAATTAGATCATTGTCTTATTTAAATAAATATTTAATAATAAAGGAGTATTTTTATTAAATTTTAATTGAAATTGTAGAAATTAGTGTGATTTTATTATTTTTTAGTATAATGATGATTAACTATTTGAATGAGATTTAATAGAGTTTTTAAAATTTATTGTTCAATTTAATTTAATGACAATTGTTTTTAATTAGAGTTATTATATTCTGTCTTACACGACAAAAATTAAGTAGAATGATAAAAAAATATATAAATTATATAAAATTTTGAATTCAGATTTTATAGATAAGAAATAATATTAAGAAAGTTTACCTTCAAAACATGATTAAGTTGATTTGAGATATTTATGTCCTCTCGATTCATTGAAGGGTAATTCTGGTCGGGTTCCTATAAGCCAGCTAACCAAGTTTATCAAGAGGGAAGATGCAGGTTCATGGGATTCTTGGGATGATGGCTCTCTTCAGCAGCTTAGGAAGATTCTGAGCACTAAGCATGCCAAAAGTCACGAGAGAGACGATGCATTTTCAGATGATACGTCCCGGCAGCAGCTTAGGAAGAATGGCCTCACACAAATATCTAGTTCAGCACCACCGACTTCGACCGGCCTCTTTAATGCCCATGGAAGGGGTGCAAGATGACTTTCAAGTGGGCATGGGCTCGAACTGAACACATAAGGGTTCACACAGGTGCTCGCCCTTAAGTGTGTGCCGAGGAAGGCTGTGGCCACACATTCCGTTTTGTGTCAGATTTCAGTCGTCACAAAAGGAAGACCGGTCATTCAGCAAAGAAAGGCAAGAGAAAACCCGAAGCGCGAAAACTATAAAATTAACACTTCTGATGAACCTGTTGCCATTCAGGTTGAAGAGAATGGTAGGTTAATTATGTTGAATAGTAGGGTTAGGATTTGCCCCATTGTTGCCATTCAGAGAACTGTTGATTATGTATTGTCATTGGGTTTCATCATGCCCATTCATTCACTTGCAATCAAGGCTGAAGATACTCATTTTTTTTCATTTGAATATTATTTATATTATTATTATTATTATTAATAAATAGTTTTACAGGCTCATTTACAAATCCTGAAGCCCAAAGAAATGCAAACCCAACCCGGTTGAGAAATCCTAACCCTTCTAGGGTTTCCCCAAGCTGCCAGCCGCCGTTGGGAAGATGAGCAGCCACTTAATCCTTTGCTGCCAGGTGATCCAACCGACGCTACCGACGTTTCCACTGCCAGGTGCTTCAACTACAACGTCGCCGTCCTCAACAGCTGCCACGACGCCCGTCGAAGCCCCCAGAAGAGTCATTCCAGCCGTCCACGCGTCCCATTCTTCCGTGAGTCACCACAAGTTCGGTGACTCACCAAAGTTTACTCCTTTAACCAGTCTAAAGCCATCATCGTGGTGGCCTATAAAAATGGCCACCATACCTGTGAAAAAGAAAAAAAAACGGGGAGTGACCGAGAGATACCGAGCAAAACAGAAGAAAAAAAAAGCCAAACACAGAAAAAAAGAGGAACCACCAACAACAGACAGCAACAAGAACACGAACCCACAGCAGCCAATATAACAGAAAGAGAAGAAAAGAAGAGAGAGCTTACTCTGTCATTGGAGGCTTTCCTAGATCTAGGAAATTCTAAGGGCTTTTAAGATAAATAGAGGTCGTATTCGGCCTTAGGAAGTGAAGATCTACATTTTGGTGTATTTTGAGTTTTCCGGCCACCGTGAACAGTGGCCGGCGGCGGCGGTTATTGTCGGAGCAAGGCGGCCGGTGAGTGGCCAGTTCTCTCCCCCGGTGGATGATTTTAGAGAGAAGGGGGAGAAATTCTCTCCTAAGAGAGAAAGAAAAGAAAGAAAATGAAAAGCTTTGGCCCTTAAGGGCCGGTTATAGGGTTTTTATACCCTCATCAAAACGGCGTCGTTTCGATGAGGGTGTATGCGTAATTTCGCACATGGTAAAATCATTTACTAAGCCATCTCAGTTTGTAACTTTTACGTTTTAGTCACTGGAATGATTTTCTGGACATTTTAATTTTTTCTTCGAAATTTATTTTATCGTATTTTAGTCCATACCAGTATACATATATTTTAGATTAAATACTAGATTTAGTCCCTCATGTTTTGATAAATTTCAGTTTAAATTCTCAATAATTAATAAGGCTAAATTACATTATTAGCACTTATATTTTTTATTTTTTTTTGAGTTAAAGCTTTTAATTTTAATTAAGTTTTATTTTAATCACATATTAGTAATTAGGGGCTAATTACACTATTAGTAATTATAATTTTATAATAATTTGAATTATGTTCATTAAATTTTGATATTTTACAGTTTATTCCTATTGTTTTAATTTTTATTTGTTTTAGTCACTTTTAAATTGCAATTTTAATTTTTTTTATTACACTATATGTTCCAATACTTTAAATTATAGTTACTTATATACCTTTCCTTAAATCACGTATTAATTTAAATAGTTGTAGTTGAAAAAGTGCTTTTGTTTATTATAAGACTTTGATGTTGATTAAATGGAAAATTACTTACCCTCAATCGTGTAAACCAAATCTCTGCTTTTGCATTGAATTATTTTAGCTATATATTTAGGGCCAATACCATAATTAGTCCTTAATGTTTTTTATTTTATATAGTTCGATAATTTTTATTTTTTATTTATATACTTTACAATTAATTTCATAATTTTAATTTCTTTTAATCATTATTATTGCAATATTATTTTATTTTACTTTTATATTCAATTATTGCTTCAATTATTATTTTTATTATCTTAGTCATAAAATATATAATAAATAATATTATTTATTTGTTTTTCTATGAAATAAAAATTATTTATGAACTATATGTTTAAATTTATTCTATATTATTTTAAGAAATATTTTAGTTATTTATTTATTTTTTAATGTTGAAGGAAAGAGATGTCTTAAAGTAATAGAAGCCCTTTTCTAAATATTTTTAAATAAATATATCTTACTATATTAAAATAAATTTTTTAAATGTTAGTATTTATTTTTTTTAATATCAAAGAAAAGAGTTGTCTTAAGATACCTAGAAGCCCTTTTCTGATATTTCCAAATAAATAAATATTTTACTTATAAATATATAAATTAATATTTAAAATTATTTTTGCAAATAAAAAATTTGAATTTAAATTCTATATTAGAGACAATTTATAATTAAAAAGTACCAATTTGGGCGTTGTAGGGTGCTAATCCTTCCCTAAACATAACCGACCACGAATCTTTTTTTAAAGAACGAATTTTTGGTTATAAACGCATATCAGTTCATCTTTTAACTGATGTTTTCTTAAAACTCTTTTAAAAGATAATTTTTAGGTATTTGACCTACCTGACCCAAAAGGCCGATGGTGACTCCCAAATTATTTTAAAAAAAACATTATTAACATCACTTTTCCTGCCAAGTAAAAAAATTCGTGCCCGGACGAAAACCGGTTACGACAGCTTGGCGACTCCGCTGGGGATTGTCAAACTTTAAACTTAATTATAAATTGTCTCTATTAATTAGAAATTAAAAATTCATTTATTTAATTTTTAATTCTTTTCTTTCAAATTTTTATTACTTATTATTTTTATATTATTTATTAATATTTTTTCAGGTATTAATTATTTTATTTATCTGTTAGAGGTTTGAACATTTCTCCTCACACACAACACTTGCATTGCATAAGCTTTTTAATTAAGTTTGTCCCTTTTAAGTGGGAGTGAAAGCGACGTCTTCGTGAGAATTTATTCTCCGTGTCAGACCTAGCAAGTAACTTTCGGGGTTCAATTGCTCTATGTCTTCGTGAGAATTTATTCTCCGTGTCAGGCATAGAGAAATGTGTCCCCTCGAATTGAACTCAATCCGCTTAAGTCTGTAATGGACTAGGATTGAGGGTTTGACAGCCCAAGGGGGCATCAACAAGGACAATTCGAGTGCCTTTACTCCTAGAACTGAAACTCTGCATATAATAAACCCTAGAAATTCACCTAATCTAAGACAGTACTGAAACCCTCTCCATAGGTGTACACAAAGGAGAAATAAGCTCTAGCTTTTAATTTATTTTTCTCTCTGAATAAATTCCTGCGAATTAGTAATCATGTTGTTAGGTTAATTTTTCCAAACAAAGCATGGAACTAGAAAGCAT